CAACAGATGGCCAAATTACCTCAACAACTTCAAGCTATGCAAGCTAATGCCCCTCCTATGCAACAAGTGTTGTTATGTGATTTTTGTGGAGGTAACTGTTGAGCTTAGGAGAGCTTGAAGCTTAAAGGAGTTTTGATGATCACAACATGTGTGTACAACAACAACTTATGATCACAATGTGTGTGTACAACAACGACTTGGAAGCACAAAAACAAAGTCAAAGAAAATGTCAAAGAAAATGCTATGTAATAGGAATTAGTGTATAAATTGTTTAGTTTGACGTGTATGTTGTGTGCATGAGCAAAATCTATATATAAGCTAAGTAGAGAGTGTATGATGATGAGTTAAAAGATTGGAAAGTTATTTTGGGACTTAAAACGAAGTTTTAAAAATTAACTCAAAATAATCAATTATCGTTAAATATAATCGATTATTCCAGCAACAGGCAAAATGCGATGCCTTGCTGCAATAATCGATTATTTGCCAAAATAATCGATTATCCCAGAACTGACTCTCTGGAATAATCGATTATCCAGCAAAATAATCAATTATATTGTTCTTGGTTGGTTTCCAGAAAACCTGAAGAACAAAATAATCGATTATTCTTTAAAATAATCGATTATCTGGGTCTGAGACTTTTATAAATAGTTTGAACTTTTAGAAACTTCAGACATGAGTTAGAACTGATAATCAAATTGAGAAAAGCGTTTTTGTGGAGTCTTTGTGACAATCTTGGAGAGTTTTCTTTGTGAAATCCAAGAAGAAAAACGTTTGTGAAAAACTTTGAAAGAGGATCATCATCATCATCACATTCTTGAAAGGGGAAGATTAAGATTTGCTTCTGAATTCCAGGTGAATTCGTTCCTTTATTCTGTGTGAATACTTGTAAAATCTTGAGAAGGGTTTCTCAAGTGGTAAGGTTTCTTGTAGTGGGTTTCTACAAGGGGTGCTTTCTTGGGGTCAAGAAAGTGGTTATCTTTAGTGTTGAAGTATATGCATGTGTGTGCTTGTAAACCTTCTTCCTTGAGATAGTGGAACAAAATCTTGATCAGGTGCTGATTGAGGACTGGATGTAGGTCACATGTGGAGTGGCTGAACCAGTATAAAAGACTTGTGCAATCTTCTTCTACCTTATCTTTTACTTTGAGTAATTTCTTGGTTGAACATTAAAGAAGATAATTCTTGATTAACATGTGTGTGAATATTGATGGTTTAATCTGAATTAGAGCATTGCATTTCAACCTCATTGTTTTGTAATCAAGAAAGCATATTACATTTATACTTCCATAACAAGTCTTTAAAGAAGCTTCATTTGAAAATTCAGTCTTAGAAAAGTTTAAGTGAAATAAAGATCCTAAATACTCTGAAAAATTTTAAAAGGTCATAGAATCCAATTCACCCCCCCTCTTGGATTGTGCCATTCTTTTCTAACAGTGACCACCCTAATGGTTATTATGCTGGACCAACCAGTTCCCAAGGTGAAGAAGTGAATTATATAGGGAATCAAGGGAGGCAAAATTTCTCTCAACACCCCTATCCCCAAAATTATCCTCAAAACTCAAATCAAAGGTGGAGAAATAATTATGGTGGAAACAAGCAGGATATGAATGCTTCATCAAGTAGCAGACCTCCACAACAACACCAACACCCGCCTTAATATGAGAGAACCACCAAGTTGGAAGACACACTGCAACAATTCATGCAACTGTCTATGTCCAACCAAAAGAACACCGATGCTTCAATTAAAAATCTTGAGATACAGGCGGGGCAAATAGCAAAGCAGCTAGCAGAGAAGCAAAAAGGTTCTTTCTCAGCCAACACCGAACAAAACCCGAAGGGGTACTTGAATGTAGTATCTACAAGGATTGGTAGGGAATTTGTGGTGAAGGAGAGTGAGAAGAAGAATGAGGGAGAAGAAAAGAATGACATGGGTGTGGAAGATGATGCTAGTGTTGATGAAGAGATCATCTTAGAGGGCCCAGGAGTATGGAGAAGGAGTGAAGGAAGTGAGTTGGGTGAAGAGAATAAAATGAAAGAAGAAAATGACAAAAAGAAAGAGAAAAAGAAAGAAATTGAAAAAGAGAAAGAAGGAATTAGTGGAGAGAAAAAGAAAGCACCCATGGAGGAGCGGAGTATTGTAAAGGTGCCACCCACCAAGAGTCTTCCATATCCTCATGCCCCTTTGAGAAGAGATAAGGAGAGGCAATATGCTCGGTTCTTGGAGATTTTCAAAACCTTGTAGATTAAAATTCCATTCTCTGAGGCATTGGAACAAATGCCTACTTATGCCAAGTTCATGAAGGAGCTCCTCACCAAAAAGAGGAAATATTTTGAAGAGGAGACCATTACATTGGAGGCAGGATGTAGTGTCATTATTCAGAAGATGTTACCAGCTAAATCCAAGGATCCTGGTAGTTTTACTCTTCCAGTCACTATTGGGAGTTTAGCTATTAGGAAGACTTTGCTTGATTTGGGGGCTATCATCAATCTCATGCCCTTATCTATGCTTCAGAGGATTGGTGATTTGGAGGTGAAGCCCACTCGCATGACCCTGCAGTTGGCTGATCGATCAGTAAAGTATCCTCATGGCATAGTGGAGGATGTTATGGTGCAGGTGGATCGTTTCTTGTTTCCCGTTGACTTCGTGGTGATGGATATAGAAGAGGAAATTGATGTACCTCTCATTCTTGGCCGACCATTTATGAAAACTGCAAGAGTTCTGATTGATGTGGACGATGGGAAGCTTAACTTTGATGTTTTTGATGCCATGCACTATCCCAAGGACAAGAGCAGTTGTTTCCGGGTAGATGTAATTGATGGCCTTGCTGAAGACACCAGGAAGCACGTCTCTTTCTCTACTCCTTTGGAGAAAGTCCTAATTAATGTGGTAGAGTACCTCCATGAAGAAGAAGATAGAGAGATTGAGGCATGTTTGAAGAGCCTTGAATCATATAAGGAGGTGACATCTAATTCTATGCTTATATAAGACTTGAAGGAGGAAGGGGAGGCAAATGCACCTAAGCTTGAACTAAAAATACTTCCTTCTCACCTCAAGTATGTGTTTCTAGAAGAAGGTGGATGCAAACCGATCATCATAAGTAGTTCCTTATCCACATTGGAGGAGGAAAGGCTTGTGAAAGTATTGAAGTTCTATCAAAGGGCAATTGGTTGGTCTATTTTCGATCTCAAGGGAATTAGCCCAGCTTATTGCATGCATAAGATATTTATGGAGGACGAGTATAAACCGATTGCTCAACCACAAAGGCGACTCAATCCTGTGATGAAGGAGGTAGTGAAGAAGGAAACGATGAAGCTTTTGGATGCCGGTATGATCTACCCTATTTCTGATAGTGCATGGGTGAGCCCTGTGCAAGTGGTTCCAAAGAAGGGTAGCATGATGGTGATTCAAAATGAGAAGAATGAGTTGATTCCTTCTAGGACGGTCACGGGGTGGAGAATGTGTATTGACTACCGAAAGCTCAATAAGGCTACAAGGAAGGATCATTTTCCACTCCTATTCATGGATCAGATGCTTGAGAGATTAGCTGGCCAAGCTTATATTGCTTTCTTGATGGGTATTCAGGCTACAATCAAATTGTGGTAGATTCGGAAGATCAAGAGAAGACCGCTTTTACATGTCCCTTTGGTGTCTTCGCATATTGGAAGATGCCATTTGGACTTTGCAATGCTCCTGCAACATTTCAGAGATGTATGCTAGCTATATTATCCGACCTAGTGGAGAAGAGCATTGAGGTTTTCATGGACGAATTCTCTGTGTTCGGGTCTTCGTTTGATGAGTGCCTAACCAATCTTAAAGTGGTGCTTAGAAGATGCTTGGAGACCAACCTTATCCTTAACTGGGAGAAATGTCATTTCATGGTGACCGAGGGGATAGTCTTGGGGCACAAGATCTCTCACAAGGGCATTGAAGTTGACCCAACTAAAGTGGAGGTAATAGAAAAACTCCCTCCACCCGTCAATGTCAAAGGTATTAGGAGTTTCTTAGGGCATGCTGGCTTCTACAGGAGATTTATTAAAGACTTTTCAATGATAGCCAGACCCCTAAGTAATCTCCTAAACAAAGACACTCATTTCTGCTTTAATGACTCTTGTTTGAAAGCTTTTGAAGCTTTGAAGGATAGACTCACCTCTGCATCCATAATCACTGCATCGGATTGGAAACTTGATTTTGAACTCATGTGTGATGCTAGTGATTATGCGGTTGGGGCAGTCTTAGGCCAAAGGAGGGCTAAAACTTTCCATGTCATTCACTATGCTAGCAAAGTTTTAAATGAGGCACAAATTAATTATGCCATTACTGAAAAAGAGTTGCTAGCCATAGTGCTTACATTGAAAAAGTTTCGGTCCTATCTGATTGGTTCCAAAGTGGTTGTGTTCACAGATCATGCAGCCATTAAGTATTTACTCACCAAGCCAGATTCCAAGCCAAGACTCATCAGGTAGATTCTGCTCCTTCAAGAATTTGACTTGGAAATCAGAGATAAGAGTGGCAAGGAAAATCTGGTTGCTGACCACCTGTCAAGGCTCGTAAATGGTGAGGTGACCATGAAGGAGAGAGAGATCTTGGAGGAGTTTCCTGATGAAAAATTGCTCAGGTGCAGGAACGGCCTTGGTTTGCTGACCTAGCAAACTTCAAGGTAGCGAGAGTCATACCTAAAGATTTCACATGGCACCAGAAAAAGAAATTCCTCCGTGATGCTACTTATTATGTATGGGATGACCCTCACTTGTTCAAGAGTGGATCAGACGACCTACTGAGGAGGCGTGTTTCTAGAGAGGAGGCCAAGAGTATTCTGTTGCACTGTCACAACTCTCCTTATGGAGGGCACTTCAATGGAGAGAGAACAACTGCCAAGGTTCTTCAATCTGGCTTTTACTAGCCCACACTCTTCAAAGATGCCCCCAGTCATGCCATGTAGTGTGACAGTTGTTAGAGGGCCGGAGGGATCACTAGGAAGCATGAGATGCCCTTACAAAGTATGCAGGAAGTTGAGGTGTTCTATTATTGGGGCATAGATTTTGTTGGACCACTGCCTTCTTCTCTCACAAATGAATACATCCTTGTGGCAATAGACTATGTCTCAAAATGGTTTGAAGCTATTGCTACACCCAAGGCGGATGTCAAAACAGTAGTGAAGTTCCTCAAGAAGCACATTTTTAGAAAATTTGGCACCCCTAGGGTACTTATCAATGATGGAGGTTCACACTTCTGTAATGCTCAGTTGGAGAGGGCTCTAGAACACTATGGAATCCATCATAAGGTTGCCATCGCCTATCACCCTCAAACCAATGGTCAAGCCGAGGTTTCTAATAGAGAGATCAAGAGGATTTTGGAGAAAACTGTGTCATCTTCAAGGAAGGATTGGTCTACAAAGCTTGATGAAGCTTTATGGTCTCACTCCATTTCAATTGGTGTATGGGAAAGCTTGCCATCTTCCTGTAGAATTGGAGCACAAAGCTTATTGGGCTTTGAGGATGTTGAATTTCGATCCTCTCAGTACTGGTGAGAAGAGGAAGTTAGAGCTACATGCTCTTGATGAATTGAGGCTACAAGCCTATGAATCATCCAAGCTTTACAAGGAGAAAGTCAAGAGCTATCATGACAAGACGATTCTCAAGAGGGAGTTCAGGGCAGGCCAGTCAGTACTACTTTTCAATTCTAGGCTCAAACTCTTCCCTGGAAAACTAAGATCTAAGTGGTCTGACCCTTTTAGAGTTAAGGAAGTGAAACCCTATGGTGCAATAGAAATTGAAGATCCTAAGGCACAAAGAAGTTGGGTTGTGAATGGACAACGATTGAAACCCTACTTGGGTGGAGAAGTCGAAAGACTCTGTTGTATCCTTTCTTTTAGAGATCCTTGAGGTCTCTTCTAGTCAGGCTCAAGATAGTAAACAAGCGCTTCCTGGGAGGCAACCCAGAGATCTGAACATTTTTCTTACGTGTTTTCCATTTGAATTGCATTCTTAGACTTCAGCATTACTATGTGTGATAATTGTCTGTGTGTGAGTTGAATTACGATTGTATGTGTTGTATGTAATTGTGTGAATCATGCTTGAGTGGGTAGATATAGGTTAAATCTTATTTCAAAGTGTGAGGAAAAGAAAATTCATGTGAATGTGGGATGAAGAGTGCAAGTTAGGCAACCCCCTGATAGCCCTGATCACGTCGGGCGCATCTATCATAAGCCCGACGCAATAGGTGGTGGTTACTCTCTGCCAAGACCATGCCAGGCACATTCAATGCCAAGCACGACGTGAATATCCCCATGGCTCCTAGTAGCTGATACGCCGGGCGTAATTCTCTCGCGCCTGGCCACGTATTAAATAGAGACACTTGGAACCACCACGCCCAACGCATTTGTGGCATATCGGGCACATTAAAAGTTGGACGCTACAGGTGGAGACACGCCCGGTGCACCCATGAATGTGCCCGGTGCACCCATGGCTCCTAGTTGCCTTTGACCTAAGTATGCCCGGCGCACCGCGGATGAGCCCGACGTGATATCAGATGGGGTTAAACCCTTGGGCTTCTACTGATATGAAGCCCGACCCACGTATTTTAAGCCCGGCGTAAAACCCCTCATATCCCACAACTGCCAAAACCTCCCTCCCACTCTCTTTCTTTCTCCTCAACGTCCACAACTCCTCATTCCCCATAACCTCCCAAAACCTCCCTCCCACTCTCTCTATTCTTCCTTCCCTCTTAAATTGTCCCCCACTCAGTCTCCCTCATCTTTGACTATCACCCAACATTCCCCAAGGCCACACATTTGCGCTTCTTTCTCCTTCCCCGCATTCCACACTCAAGTAGGTTCTCGTTTCTTGATTATTTTTGTTTTCATGCATCCTTGTCTCGTCTTTTCTTGTTTAGCATGGGGGCTAAGGCTTGCATTGGGTTTTGGGGCCAAAAAGATGATTTTTTACTCCCCTGCATGCACCCACGCCGGACGCGACGAACTGCGCCCGGCGTAGGTTGGTTTTTTAATTGTTTTACATATAAATCTGTGCCCGGTGTGAAGAACTACGCCCGACGCGACTGCTATGTAACTGGCATGTGCTCGGCGCGATAAAAATACGCCCAACGCTTTCTTCACTAGATCTTCCCATTTGCGCCCGGCGTGTGCTCCTTACGCCCGGCGTGAAGAGCATCAGAGAGTTTCTATTCTCGCTCACGCCCGGTGCAGTCTTGTTTGCGCCCAGCGCAATGCACCACCAGAGAGTTCACTAATCTCTCTACGCCCGACACATGTGTTTGGCACCCGGCGCATCACATGTCTAGCACCCAATATTTTCAGTTTCAGTTTCTTTTTGTTCTATTTGTGTACTTTGTGTTGTATTATCATAGTCCATTGCCTTTTACTTCCATGTTATGTTTAATTTTGGTCTATGGATGGTCTTCATTTTTCCATATCGTAATTAGTCATCATTGTATATCTTGTTGTGCTCACCTTGTATGTCTAGGATCTCTTGTCTTATGTTATATAGATGGAATCCTTAAGCAAGTGCTCCCGCTCCAACCAACCTGGTCTGCCTCCCTACAAGCTCAGCCAACCATACTACCGCCAGTTCCTCACTAAGCGTAACGAGACCATTTTGCTACTATGAGCGGCAGGAAATTCATCTTGGAGAGGCGGGTGGACTTAGAGAACGATGAGGCCCCTAAGTTCCAGAATGAGCTCACCAGGTGCCACTGGAACAAGCTTGGCTCCTACCCCCTTCCGTACAACATTGTTGTGGTCAAGGAGTTTTATGCCAATACCCTACAACCAGAGGAGGGCATTGTCTCTTATAGCAGTTATGTGTGAGGTGTGCGAGTCCCCTTCGACACCCACACGATTAATGAGTTCTTTGGGACTGCGTTGCAACCTGATGAGCAGTGTGAGTATGGGGATTTTGAGGGTGGGACCATAACAACTGATGTGGTAGAAGTTGTTATGTGTATGCCTGGGGCCAGCTTCCATAGGAACCACACTCAGCAGCCCTTTCATGTGAAGTACTGTGATCTGCTCCCAGTAGCAAGGATTTGGTCAGCACTGATACATGCCAACATCCTTCCCTGCTCGCATGTCTCTAATTTGCATTGGAGTCGGGCCATGCTGATGTATTGCATCATGACAGGGAGGACAGTGGACATTGGCTCCATTATCTGTGTGGAGATTTCTGGTTGCGCTAATGCACCACACTCCGCAACCTTTGGACATCCCTCCCTCGTCACTCAGTTATGCCAGCTTGCTGGTGTGGATGTCCATGCACCACCATTTGAGGGTCCTGGCTAGGCGATTGACAACCGCTACATTTTTGCTTATTTTCAGGACTGTCAGCCACATGCTGCTGCACCGGAGCCTATTCATACTTTCGGACCTCATGGGGACATGTCCATGGATGATGCTCCTGCACCGGACCCTCCACTCACTTTCCATCAGCGTTTTTACACTCTTGAGGGCCGAATGGACACCTTCTTGCAGCAACAGGAGTCTCTCCATTGTGGCCAGCTCTTCCTCCTGGATGCCTTTCAGAGTCTCACTCTACACTCCACCACCGCTCCTAGCTACCAGTTCCCTTTTGCTGCGGACTTTCATGCCTATACTGGTTGGCCCGGGGACCAGGCCCCTTTCTTTGGGGGGGTGGAGCTGCTGCTGATGATGCTGATGATGCAGATGAGGATGAAGTAGCCCCCGAAGATGATGATGACCGAGCTCCATATACAGACGCAAATGGAGTTCAGCTTAGTTTAACTTTATGTTTATTGCAGTTTATTTTCATGTCTTTTACTTTTAGTTATTTAGATTTGATTTAGTTGTTCATGTTTCAAAACTCTGTGGTTAGATTTAGTGTTTTGTGTGATTACTCTGGTTGGTTTACTTTTTGTGACTATTCTGGTGACAACACGGTTTTTAATCTTGTTGATACTTGCTGTGTTGTGGTCAATTCTGGATTTTGGTTTGCTTCATATTTTTTGTGTACGTACTTTAGACATTTTCAATTCACGTTAGAACTTTAGTTCATGACTAGTTGCATACGGGTTTCAATGTTGATCATAGTACTGAGCCAAGTTTGATAATCTTTGGATGTATAGCCAGGTGAGGTCTTGAGCCCCTGAATGTTGATGAGTGAACTACGCTTAAGTTGCATGATAGGCTTTGCTTGAGTTTCCCTGGTGGTTTGCTAATGTCGTGCATTTATATGATCAAGGCATTCATATTTCCTTGTTTTGTTAACCATCTAAGCCAAAAAGCCACCTCCACATCTTACTTGACCCATAATTTCCTAAGCCTAAACACCACACCTTATACTTATCCGAAATTGTGAAAAATTAACCATAACCCTTGCCTTGGTTAAGAGAGTAATTGATGACATGAAACAAGTTTGGGGGAGTTGAAGAATGAGGGTTTCTGGGAAAAGGAAAGTATATGGTCATTGTTTCAAAAAAAAAAAAACAAAGAGAAACCCAAACAAAACTATAAGGATGCAAAAGTGTAAATATGCATCACATAAAGGCTAGTGGTTTGGGTTCGATTAAGGGCATGTTCTAAAATGTTGTATTGGGTTATGGAGAGGGATATCATTGTAAAAATATCAATTGCTCTCTTAAACCATTGCACTTTTAATCCTTGACAAACCATGAGATTGCTATTACTTGACCCAAATTGCCTTAATAAAGACCTTGTGGTAAGTGCCTACATTTGCACCATTGGTTTCATTTGGAAACGAAGAGCAAAGTTGAATTATGTGGCGTGAGTAGTGGATTTGAGAGAAACATTCACCCTGATACTCCAGTGTGCACAGAGAGAAACACTTTCCTAGTGAGGATGCATTCATAAATGATTATTAACTTTCCTCAACTCTTTGATCTCTTTTGAAACCTTTGTTTGCACCTTGTCATGTTCCATTGCAATAATTGTGACTGAAAGTTCATCTAAGGTTCGTGCTTTCGAAAAGAAAATCCAAGTGAGCTAGAATTTAGGAATTTGACATACATGCATTGCTTGGTATCTGCCAGATCAATTACCTGTTGCTTGAGGGCAAGCAAGGTTCTAAGTTTGGGGGAGTTGTTAAGTCTCAATTATACTTCCTTTTAGATAGGACTTATTGAACAACTCCACTCATCCCATGCACTCTTGCAATATAATTGTTCTCCTTTTGATTCAATTTTTGTGCAGATAAAGCTAACCCAAAACTCATCTAACAATACCCTGATACATCCAAAACTCATCTAACAATACCCTGATACACCTCATTTTTTGTGCAGGTATTGAGTGAAGAGTTGAAGTTGAAGACCCATTGAATTGGAAATTGAATGAGCTAAGGAGCAGGAGAAGAGTACTTGCGCCGGGCGCAAAACTACCTGCACCGGGCTTGAACAAAATAGAGAGCCACACTCTCTACAATTCAGAACTACGTCGGGCGCAAGAGTAGATGCGCCGGGCGTGCTCGAGATAGAGAGCAACCTAAACTCTCTAGAAGACATCATGCCTGGCTTGAGAGTAATTGCGTCGGGCGTGTCTTGAGATAGAGAGTATCTAAACTCTTTGAAAGGCCCTACGCCGGGCGTGGTAACCCTAACCTGACTCACCCAGCTCGTATTTGATCAAGTCTTTGAGGATTTTTCCCTCATTCACACATTGAGCGACTTCTAGGAGCTGCGGAAGGGATTCCCGGTGCTTGGGACCGTTCGTGTGTGGGTCTTTCCTTCGGTTCTTCCATCTCTCTTCCATCTCTATTTTTGTTTTACCTTCATTGTTTTGAGCGGTTCTACCCATTATTTTGTGGGGTTAGATGTAACCAACGAAACTCTCTTGTAATCTTCACTTTATTAATGATATATATGTTGTTGTTTCATTCATTGTTGTGTTATGTTTCTG